TGGGACTCCAAGGAATCACATAGTTTTATTACTCTGATTAATTTGCTATTTTAATGCATAGTAGTAATTAATATTGGCCACAGGCAACTCAAGATAGAAATGTCATGACCTAGATGAATGTGTAGAATGCCCTGGTGTTTTCAGAGTGTTTTCACCTATATTATCTAGTTTAATCTTTACAACTGTCTTATGAAATAAGCAGGGTGGTTATGATTCATTGTTAGGTTTACAAATGTGGAAACTGAGGCCCAAACCATTTGTTTAGCCAATGTTGGATCTGGGTACAAAATTCCAGTCTTCCAATTCCCAGTTTAAACTGCTTTCCAAAGACCACAGAAGAGGCAATTAGGTCACAGCAGTTGCTAAATTTCTTGGCAAAATTCGAGAGGCAAGGGCATAGACTTTATTATAATGCTTTCTGAACACAGTACACAATCTGCAATAATCCCGAATTTCTAAATCTTAAAAAAAATCAGCTCAGAATTTTCCCCTTGCTTTAACTCCTCCAGAGAGAATCTTTCTGAATCTCATGAGGCTCTGTGCATATCCCTGTAATTACAGGTTATTACATCATAGAGCAATAATTTGTTTACATGTCTGTTTCCCCAGCCTCTCCTTCTTCACTTCCCCCTACTCCCAGAGACAGTGAGAAAAGGTCTATTCATCTTTGGAACTCCAGCACCTCACAGGTTGCTAGACATAACAAAAGCTCAAGAAATTATCTATCTATCTATCTATCTATCTATCTATCTATCTATCTATCTACCTACCTATCTACCTATCTAGACTCCTGTACATCCACAGCCACAGAAGTTTGCCTGCATTCTCTCTACTTAAAAGTCATTATGTTTCTTTTAAGTTGAACTCCTGTTATTTAATTGATGCTACATTTGTTGTCGTTGAGGCTTGATAGTATTATAATTTCTAGGGTAGTGTTTTTAAAATCTAGGTAATACAATTATAGAATAGTTTTCCATATATATGATATATATGGAAAATATTTTACTTCACTGCATAAAACAGAACCACTTAAACAGCAAAGAATATACTAAATGAAATAATAAAGGTTTAAAATAAATTACAAAATAAAAAACAAATGGTTGCAAAATGTCAACTACCCTAAATTAATATATGCATTTAAATCTAGCCTAGTAAAAATATTACAAAGTTTAGTTGACAGTGTTGCTGTTGTTTAAGATTTTTAAAAATGTATATATGTGCATTGTTTTTAAAAACAATCAAAATGTATTGAAGAAAATATTAGTTTATCTTATTGATTTCTAGTAACAGCTCATAGAATATAGAAATGGTCTTGATTCTTTCAAATGTCTCCACCTGGTCATGTCAAAGTTCAATGATGGTTTAAATAATGATGGACCTTCTATTTCACTAAAGATATAATTTTTTTTTTTTTTTTTTTGAGACAAGGTCTCAGGGGTTGCCCAGGTTGGAGTGTAATTGTGCAATCAGGACTCACTGTAGTCTTGACTTCCTAGGCTCAGGTGATTCTCCCACCTCAGCCTCCCAAGTAACTTGGACTACAGGCATGCACCACCATGCCCGGCTAATTTTTTGTAGAGACAGGGTTTTGCTATGTTGCTCAGGCTAGTCTTGAACTCCTGGGCTCAAGTGATCCTCCACCTCAGTCTCCCAAAGTGCTGGGTTTATAGGCATGAGCCACTATGCCTGGTTAAAAATACAATATTTATATGATCTAATTTTGAAGGGTCCACTGAAGTAGAAGTAATGTATTTATAAAAATAATATTTACAGCATTATATTTTAAAAATACTATCTTAAAAATTATAATTTTATCGAATCTCAATAAGAGGAAATATAGCATCAATTAAATGATAGGAGTCCAACTAAAAAGAGATAAAACAACTTTTAAGGAGAGAGAATGCAGGCAAATCTGTGGCGGTGGATATGCAAAAGTTCATTGCTTTGAAAATGGAATCGAACCTGCATGTGACCCTAAATTCCCGAGTACAGTTGAACAGCAGGGACATGAGTAGTTCTGCTGCTGCCAGACAAATCACCACAGTTTAGTGCATTATAGCCACACATGTTTATTATCTCATTGCTCTGTAGGGCAGAAGTCTGGGTTGGCTTGACTGGTTTCTCTGCTTCAGGTTTCACCAGGCTATAATCTGTGTTGACAGCATGGGTTATAGGGAGATTCACTCAAATTGTGGGCACAATCCAGTTTCTTGTAGCTGTAGGACTGAGGTCTCCATTTCCTTGCTGGCTGTCACCTGGGAACTTCTATTAGCTTTGAGAGGCCTCTTTTTAACTTTGTATCTGGGCAACTGTATCTCAGAACCAGTGATTGCACATCAAATCCATCTCACACTTGAAAGCTCTTGGATTTCCTCTTCTGCTGCATGTCTGACTTTAGCTGGAGAAACTTCTCTGCTTTTAAGAGCTCAAGTGATTAGACTGGCCCCATCTGGTTAATCCAGGATAATCTCTGCACCTGGAGATCCACAACCTTAATTATATAAAGTCCCTCTTGCCATATAGAATAACATATGCACAGGACCCAGAGATTAGGGTATGGACATGAGGGGAAGGGGTGACATTAATTGGCCTACTACAAGGCTACTTGGGAAACCCGGATTTAAATTCTGCTTTAGCCAATTTTAGTCTTTCTATTTTCTTAGCTCCTTGAGCTTCTTTCTTCTTAGTCGAGAGAGTTGATAGAATGAAGTTGTTCCTTGCAATTCTTTCTTCAAGTCTTTATTCATCTTCCTGTAGGAGTTGTGTTTTCCATTTATATTGGTGATGTATTCCTATGTTTCAAAAAGTTTATTCTCTATTTTTAAGAGGTAAACTATCTCCTAAATTGATTTTCTGCCAAGTTTCATGACATGTTCTGTGTGTGTGTGTGTGCGCAGGTGTGTGTGTATGCCTTTGTGTGTGTGTATGCCTGTGTGTGTGACAGAATCTTGTTCTGTCACCCAGTCTGGAGTGCCATGGTACAATCTCGGCTCACTGCAACCTCCACCTCCTGGGGGCAAGTGATTTTCTTGCCTCAGCTTTCTGAGTAGCTGGGATTACAGGCACACGCCACTATACCTGGCTAATTTTTGTGTTTTTAGTCGAGAGAGAGTTTCACCATGTTGGCCAGGCTGGTTTTGAACTCCTGACCTCAAGTGATCCGCCGGCCTTGACTTCTCAAAGTGCTGGGATTACAGGTGTGAGCCACTGCGCCCGGCCCAGCTGAGGTGTTTGACTCTCACCTTTAAGCTCTGAATTTTCAGACTGCATGTTCATACTTTAAGGAGGGGAAAAGAGCTGGCCAAACGATTTTCTGCCTGGGTCAACGAATATGGCAAGGTCAGTGCAGGCAGGCAGGGGCAGAGGACTGGATGGCTTCATCAAAGGCATTAATTTATCAAGTTGGATTTTAATTGCAAGAATTCAGGGGAAATAATGGAAATTGGCAATGCCTTAACATTTCATGGATTTTCAGTGGAGTTAGTTTGTCCCTGTTCAAAACAAGCAGTCCTGCATGGGGAGACTCCCCTCCAATAGTAACTCTTTCCATTTGTCCATTTGTAGCCCCATCATCTCCAGCAGGCTCCCAAAGCTGTCCCAGGATCAGTCGCCAGTACACCTCGCCATCTTCAGAAGTGTGGCTCTGTGGAGTGCCTCCAAAGCAGGAGCCAGTCCTTCTTTCAGCTGAATTTGCCACCCCTTATTTCTTTATGCAATATCTCACTCTCCTTGATATGGCTTGGTTATGTCCCCACCCAAATCTCATCTTGAATTGTAGTTCCCATAATCCCCAGGGGAAGGATCCAGGAGGAGGTAATTGAATGATGGGGGCAGTTCTGGTGATAGTGAGTGAGTTCTCACGAGATCTGATGGTTTTATGAGGGGCTCTTCCCCCTTTTGCTCAGCACTTCTTGTTGCTGCCACCATGTGAAGAAGGATGTATTTGCTTCCCCTTCAGCCATGGTTGTAAGTTTCCTGAGGCCTCCCCAGCCATGCTGAACTGTATGAGTCAATTAAACCTCTTTCCTTTATAAACTACTCAGTCCCGGTTATGGCTTTATTAGCAGTGTGAGAACGAACTAATGCACTCCAAGTGTCTCTGGAAGACTCAGGCCCAGAGATTCACTGTCCATCTCCAAGGATTCTGCACTGAGTGACCTGCCCTCAGTACTTTTACCCATGAGGGAAATGAAACACCTTCGATGGAGACTGGTCTGGGGTTCTGAAGGGCACGAGGGATTGAGCTGCAAGGGTCCTGCTTCCAGGAGTCCCTGTTTATCTCTCATTTTTGAGTCAGAAAAAGGCCCCTGGATATTTGTGTGTAGGCTCTACTTTCTTGGGTTTCTCCATGTCTCTGAAAACATGGCTGCCCATGAGAAGTGTTTAAAGAAATGAATTTTACCTATTAACTTGTTTAGCTCTCATATGAGATAAGGTGATGTAATCATAATGGCTCTTAATTTCAGAATGCAAGCATAAGGCCACACATTTTACATACATACACACACACACACACACACACACACACACACACACACACACAGAGAGAATATATGTATATACACACACACTCACACTTAAATGATGTGTGTGTGTGTGTGTATGTGTACTTAGTAAGCACCGAATAAATGCTTACTAGCTAAATGATGAAGCTAGTTCTAACCTGTTTTTGAAGAATTGGCAATTGGAGAGAGGATGTATGTAATTTAAAAAATTTTAAAGGGGACATAGCTATAGAGATATCAATCTTTTGAGTTTTTTTTTTTAAGAAATGGAAAGTGTTGGTTACATAACTCCTTCCACCTGTAATGTGTCTTAACAATTTAATTTTTGGCTTGCAGCTAGTTTGGAAAAGTCCTAGTTATCATGGTTGTGTACTTTAATGTGCTTCCCTCTAGTGATTCCTGGGGTAAGGGAAAGTGTTTTGCATGCAGTAGATGCTTAATAAGTATTTGTTGATTAAATAAATGAGTAATATTGGAATAGAGATCAGCAAGCAGTAGGTCATGATGGTTTTACTGTTTTATTCACTCATTCACTTACTTACTTCACACACAAAAAATTGATCTCCTACTATACACCAGGCATGACTCTAGACACTGGAGGTACATCTGTGAATGAGACAAAACTTTCACACTTAAGGATTGTATTCTAGAAGGGATGGCAGAACATAAATCAACAGGAAAATATCCAGAGGTGGTAAACTATGATGGCACGTAGGCACGGTGAGATTTGAACCAGGGAGGAAAGGCCATTGGGCTGGACCTGTTGAGAGTTACAGCCGAGGCCAGAAGCACAGTGCTGAAGCCTGAAGAGGGCAGAAAAAAAAATCCCAACCACTTGCTTCTGCCCTCTGACCTCCTTCTGATACCTCCCGTTAGATGAATAAAATGTACGGCCAAAGAGCTTGAGTCTGGATGATGTAGTCCCTAGGGGACGGAGCACAGAGCAGGGCAGAGAAAGACAGAATATAATCAGGGGCATGAGGCTGGGAAATAATTATGTCTAATGAACATTTGTTAAACAACAAAGGATTCTTTCGGCATACAGAATTTTTTTTGCTACTCATATGCAGAATTGTAATGAAATAAATCATTTTTCAGTTTGGAACTCTGCAATAAATGGAAACATTTCATTAATATTGCAGAATAAAACTTGAGAGATTACCACCATTTAGCTTCCTTCCCCCTCTTTCTTTCAGGAATCTTCTTCTGTTAATGGGGATTAAGAACAGATGCGTGTATGTCCTCTTTTAGACTCTTCATGTGTTCTCTTCTCCCCAAATTGTCATGTATGGGGAACCTGCTAGTATGGCTAGAGTGGCAGGAATTAAGTCACAGATGTATAATTTTCACTCAACATTCTTTCAGAAGAGGTTAGATCAAGAAGAATTAAGACGATTCCAGAAACAGAAGAACAAGGAGACCCAGGGAGAGAGGGGTTTATTTGATGGCTGTTGGGAACTGGATTTGTGCAAACACTCAAGGCTGGCAGAATACATTTAATACACGCTCTTGACCTGTAAGGGCACTGAATTGAGAAAAGTCTGCAAGAGTTGTCTGGGCTTGTTCTTCAGAAGGAAAAAGGCAAAGTGTAATAGGGGAGCTGAGTACATGTCTTGTGACCCAGGAAAGGGAGAGGAGAGCATAGTTATGGTGTGATCAGAGCCAGAGCAGTGTGGCTGAGGGGAAGCAGTTTGACTGGGAAGCTCCTTGTTCCTTTGATAACCAGGTATGAAGATGACTAGCCATTCATTGTGCAGAGACAATGCTATATGAAAACTTTACTTTTCCTCCTGGACATGAAGACCTTTTTCATAGCTCCCTTTCATCTAAGTAGGCCGGATGGCTGTTCTGGCCAAAGAGATATAGATAGAATTCAGCACAGTGCTGAAGCCTGGAAAGGGCACAGATCTTGTCTATACCTGGCCTAGCAAAAAAAGATCCTGCTTAGTTTCCCACTGTAACTGAGAGTGGAGACATCCCCAAGATTGTTGTGGGAGGCCGTACAAATCTGTAGGGAAGCTTGGAGTAATGTGGGAGTTTAAAGAAAACGCAAAGAAACTCTGAGGCATCTGGCTGGTATGCTCAAAATTTGGAATGTGGCACCATTTGTTTTGTGTTTGAGGCTAGTCTAGTCTATTTATATGATTACAGGGCTTGGAGAATTTTAAGAAAAACACTGCTGCCATTTAGAATTTCCTAGATTTGATGGCCTCAACTGAATGTTATTATTTAAGTACTAAATTAGATCAAAGGTTGAGCATCTTATGTTGGTTACATTTTACTTGCTCATTTGGAGGGATAAGGTAGAAGAGAAAGGCTGTAAGGGCTTGTCTACACAACAATGGGATTTTATTTCCTAAAACGTTTTGTTGCAAATGATGATGCACCTGTGACAAGCTGGCTGTGGTCAGGGTGGAAATGGGAAGACAAACCACACTTAACCTATGACTTCTAAATAGTCAGGGCTGAGCTAGACCAGAGTTGGGCTTTTCTCTGAGTTACAAAGCAAGTCTCTATTGATGTTTTATACCTTTTTCTTTCACTAGTCTTCAAGCTGTTGAAATATTTTTTCAGTTACTTGTCATTTGTTGTTGTTTTGTCTAGGTGAATCATCATGAAAACTAAGTAGAGAAAAAAAACAAACACCCCAATCATCAGAGAAAGGATATTTCAAAACTGCCCATATTTAGTAATTGACTAAGGTCTTATTGAATGCAGCTTTATTGATAGTGATGAGATTACAAAATAGCACTGCATACATTTTAGTTCGTTGTTCCTTACATAGTACCAGAATGTTTTAAGCAAATGAAAATTTTTTTTGCCAAAATCTGCTGAATAAATAAAAAGTTTTTAAAGAATATCCAAGACAAATAATTTATTTCAAATTCCCTGAGAGGGCAAATTAAATGGTCTTTACCCAACGAATGTGCTGGAGGGTAAATCTTTAATATTTTAGAGTGTTTAATTCTCATAATTACCAATAGAGCACTGTTCGGAAAATTATGCTGTAGGTTTTTTTGGCATGAAAATAAATACTGAAAAGTAATTCCTTTTAATGCTGCCTTGTGCTGGAGAACCTATTCATCAGTGGCTGGAATAGGGATCTAGCTCATTCAGAGATTACATAAATTCATTTGGTTGTAACTAACGGAAAAAAATTAATGAGGTGATTTTAGTTTCTTTCGCCTAGTAACTTGGATGAGTTCTGAAGACACTTGGCCAGGACAACTATCAAAAAAATAAAATTAAAAAGTTGACCTTTTAGAACATACATATTTCCAGGTAAACTTCTATTTACATGCGTATTTGTAAAATACACTTACTACAACTGCTGCTCTACCTTAAATCATAGAACCATTCAGTACTCACTTTCTTATGGCATCAATTATACCTCCTCACTCATAACACTTCACTACCATCTAATCATCTTTTAAAATTATACGAATCTGTACCATCACTGTCCTTCTATTCAAAACCATTCTTACAACATACGAAGTAAAAATAAAATTCATTCAGTGCACCGAAAGCAACTAATGCATCAGGGATGACAATTTGGCACCAAGAACCTAACTAAAAATGGACAAACTACGTTAAAGTTTGGCTTCCTGCAGACTTTCTCATCAGGTCTCTGGCCCATTCGGAAAAAGAGAGCTTGAATTTTATTATTTCAGCTGCTGGGTAACATGCAATTTCTCTGATACATTGAACTGATGCTTTTATTTGATCACAGGACTCAGACGTTACAAAAATAACAAGTCATTTTCTTTAATAAAAAATAAAAGGAAGTATATGGTTGGGTCCTAAGATTCTGGAGAGTAATTGAATGTAAGCTTAAAAACATACTAAATATTTTCCACTTGGGAAATCTGGAGAAACTAGGTTTCTAGCAGCAACTGCTTCAATAGGTGGTTTAAAGAATATGTTTCGCTTACACATGAAAGGGGACACACATTATTTTGATTCTGCATACTTTTATGTCTTTCATTTGGCAATACAAGATGTTCCAGGATATGAAACTTTCATCAATCCTTACATTCCATACTCCTCGCCAATGTGGTATGTCAGAAATTCCAACATTCCAAATTCATATTAGTCTTTATTTTCCTAACTGTTGAAGCAGAAGATGGAACAGCAACGTACCTAAGAATCTGGTAAGCTCACATATGTGGATTTTCTGAGTTTTCAGATAAACAATAAAGAAAATAAGTTAAATAGTAATTTTAAATGATTTATCCAGCTCTAACATGTCTCCAGTTTCATCTCTAGAAAGCCACTGCCAAGTTTTTGCACAATCTATTTTATCAAGCTTTGATAGACGAAAAATCCTCTAGTTTCAGTATCTCTTCTCATTATTCCATCATGTAATGTTACAACTGATTGATTCTCATTTCATTTCAAGCCCTAGGTCCTCCTTTTCATACAATACTTCCAAGATGTCAATGGGAACACATCTATTAGTGTGCATCAAGGAATTACATCTATTCGCCCACTTATGATGTGTAGTCCACAATAAAACACCTTTTCTCTAAAAATTAACCGTATACTATAGGCTTCTCAGTTGTATGAGTGTGTGCGTATACACACATAGACATACACCAAGGCAATATACCATATCCACATACACCAAGGTAAAAGATTCTTTGTGTAGGATAAGGAAACAGCCCAGTGCTTTTACATTAATAATGTCTTGTTCTTAATTTACAGCGTTTGTAGCCCTTACCTGAGTGTTATCATTAAATACCCAGAGATTGAACTTTTCATAAGGGGCAATGATATAAAATTGTTCCACAAAGTGTACTATATGAACCACTTTTCACAGTTCAGATAACATATTTTAGAAATAAATATCATAACTCTAGCAACAACCTATCTACACAAAGTGGAGAGGATGAGATGAATGAAAACCAAATTATATTTCCATATAACTCATGTTCAATTCCTAAATAGCTTGTTTTATTTTTCAAAATCCAATTGCACATAACCCATAATTGATAGGCCACTTCCTCTCCAAAACAAATAAACTGTCAAAGAATAAAGTGATAAATTATAAAAAAGGAAAATATGTATCATTTACTACAGTCATTCCCTTTCCTCAAAACTTGGCAAACATATAAGAAAAATGCTATCAAGTGGATACACTTTGATTATAAATCCAAAGCTAATTTGGAGCAGATGAGATTAATAAAAATAGGACAGAATGAGCATATATTTTTATATATGTGAGATGAGTGTTTGATTTTTACTTAAGAAATCAGGAGGATCCATATGAAATGGGAAACAATGGCATTTATCAACAGGAGAACCCGTTCATCCAGTTACTACCAAATCTGCAAATTCCAAATGTTTCTTTCATTCTTGTCTTACAAAAGATTGGGGCAAATAAAATTATTATTATTAGTTGTATAAACTTCAGGCTCTCTAAGCTTCAAGCTAATGGTCCTTAGGGACATAGTTTTATTTGGTGATCTTTGCAGGGCGTACATTAGGGCCAAGGTTGCCTTTAACCAGGTTGGTGTAGCTTTTATGGTGAGGGTAAGGCTCCCAGGGTATGTGAAATTCTTCTTTAACAGAGGACAAGGGATAAAATGCAAATCCTTCTAGTTGAAACAACCACATGACTTAAATTTACACTATAAATTAAATGACTCAAATCAATTCCTTGACTGACAGCAGGATTTTATGGTAGAAAATAAACTGGGGCCTGAGGCATGGAAAAAGAGAAATGTCCGCTAACGCAAAGGTTATCAACTTTACGGTCCCTGGGTGGAATCCCTATTCCTTTTCGGTCAGATCTTGTTTTAAGCTTTATTACGTTGTCATGGGATATCTTTCAAAATCCTTTACTCAATCACATTTGGGGGAAAAATTGCGTTGAAATAGAGAATTAAATCTTAAGTCTACGTAGATCGACAATTTCCATTTTTAAATAAAATCTATATGAATATCTTCAACTTCCTAAAGAAAAAAGAGAGAGAGGAAAATAAACTTTTGAACATGAAATCACTTACATAAACCTCAAGTGTACTAAAGTGTAGAGGAAAAAATCTCAAATGTGGGTGTAACCGCTATACATTTAGGAAACACGCCGCCTTGGAACAGTGCCTATAACGAATTCCGTCTGCCACCCAGTGGCCGCTGAAATAAATTGTTTCTTTTGTTGGCCATGGCCCTGTATTTTGATTTAAAAAAAAAAAAAAGACAGAGGTAGATTATGCCATACCAGGAATTTAAAGCCATCAGGACATGTGCCTCGACATATTTTACAATACAGTCAGTGTAGTAAATGTTAAATATTTTCCTTTTCGCGAACTCAGAGGTTAACAACGTGGCTCTATGAATAAATAACATATTCTTTCTGCGTCCCTGCATCTACCTGGGCTCAGATACTGACTGGCACAGAAGATACCGAACTGGCCCGGGATTCCCGAGTCACGTTGTTGGGCATCGAGAGGGTGCAGCAGGACACGCCGACGGTGGCCTCGGGTAGCTCGTCGTCCTCCATCCACTCGTTGAGCTCGGGGCTGAAGCACTGGATGCACTTCTTGTACTTCTTCTCGCCCTCGTTCCAGCCCCCGACCAGGTAGGCGCGGCCGTGCAGGGCCGAGAGGCCCGCGGTGCTCACTCCCACCTGCAGTGGCGCCGCGTAGCTCCACTGACCTGTCGCGGGGCTGTAGCACTCCACGGTGAGCACGTCCACGCGCTCCCCGCGCGGCCCTAGCTGGCTGCCGCCCATCACGTACACTCTGTCGCTCAGCGTGACTGCGCAGTGCCAGCCCCTGGGTGTGCTCAGGCTCGGCAGCTCCTGCCACAAGTCGCTGGCCGGGTCATAGGCGCACACAGAGCGCGAGTATGCGTTGGCGATGTAGCCTCCGGTCACCAGCATGTGGCCGTCGGCGACCGCACTGGCGTGGCAGCAGCGCGCCACCTCCAGGGGCGTCTTCGGCTGCCACTGATTGGTGGAGGGCACGTAGCACTCCAGAGAGGCCAGGCTTCCTTCTGCGTTGCGGCCGCCCGCGGCGTACAGGAGCCCGTTGAACACGCTCAGGCTGAAGTGCGTGCGCTTCTGGTTCATGCTGGCCAGGTGTATCCAGGTGTTGAAGCGGGGATCGTATCTGGAAATGACAGAGAAGGTGTAACAGCTTTGTCGACGGCAGCTGGGGATCCCATGTTACTCCGCAAACCATAGTGGGAAGCCTGACACTACCCCTGCAAGGAGGCGAGGACCTGGTCCAGCTCCTCACCTGGAGGCTGGCATTTCTCTCTCAGCCAGTAAAAATGTGTGACACTTGCTAAAGACAAAGCAGGCATTGAGTACCCCTCGTCCCCGCCTTTCCTCCGTTTATAAGCACTCCCTTTATGGGGCCGCTTGGAGAAGAGCCCACAGAGACTGAGCTTTCAGCCCCCGTTTCCTCTATATTCAAATATCTATCATACAGCGGGATTTATGAGATGTGCACATGGGGGATACTGGGCATTTGTGGTGATCAGAGGAGGGCAACGCCATATTAAAGTCAATTCTGCATATCTTCAGATGCCAACCATTCCCAGCGCCCTCTCACTGTTTAAGATACGAATTGACTGATTGGATTTCTCAATTTCTCGCAAACCCATTATTTCTACACCTCTCTTGGCCATTGTGACAGTAAAGCCCAAGCCACTCAACAAAGTCTTCTCCTGTCTGTTAGACTGAGAGCAATGGAACTCATGTCTAAAAGCATCATCAAAGGCTTAACTTTGGATACTTTTCTATTTTCCAGCACTTATTGGTAAAGAAGACTTTTTAGTTTAAGGATAAATATATATATATATATTTTCAGTGCTTGGAACTATCCATGTATAAGCACTGAAATCAATACCTCAAAAAGCGACTTGAGTACTAATAGGTGTCTTTTCAGCAGGAGGAAAATAAGCATAGTGAACTGATGCTTTCCTGTTGACATAGTTCAGAAATATTGTAAATACAGAACTCACTCCTTCAGTCTGATGTTCGTCTTTGTCCCATGTAACTTTGTCCCATAGTTAAGATTAAACTTAACTATAGTTACAAATTAAACACTGAAAATCAGTTAATTGTGTTCTTTTCAATGCATACACACATAATGGAATAATAAAGAATATTTTTCATGAAATGCTACACAAATTTTCAGATCTTGCTTATTAGTTATGTTTGACTTCATACTACTACCATGATATAAGCATGATTTTCTGAACATTTCATATAAATGGAAGTTTAATTTTTAATCATAAATATATAAAATAATATGGCATTTGAATTCCATTTTTCTGAAGGATGTGTTTTACTCTTTTACCCTTTTCTATATGTGTCAACAATATTGACACATTTTCTGTTATTCGGTTTTCAAATAAGTATTTCAAAAGAATTAGCTGCCACAGTTTTAGTGATCTCATTCTATTTGCCAATTATGAATTTGACAGTTGTCAGTAGTAGTCACTTAAAATAAATTTTGTTTTATTCTATTCTTTCTTACTACTTAGTGTTAAAAACTAAATTTGTACCTAATTTCTATCAAAAATCAGTATATTGTGAAGAGTACTCAACTAGAAATGAGTAAATGTGAATTGCGGCTTACTGGTGTTATAACTTCTCTGGGTATCAGGTTTCTCATATGTAAAATCAGAATAATTATCTCTTCCCCGCCCACCTCACAGGCTTGCTTCAGGAATCTATAGTGCAAAATATATATGAATGCACTTTATGTAATATAAAGTGCTGAACATACGTAAGGTGGTATTACTATTATTTTTGATTTACTAAGCCAATGGACTAAGCTAATAAGCAAGATTAATTTATTTCTATGTTAGGGCTATTTCCCTATAATATCGAACCATTTCAGTTCCTAATAAAAGATCAAGTACCTGCAGAAATTGCTGACTGCATGCTTGGCTTGATTTCTTGCATCATTCTGGTCTTCACCACCGGCTACATAAAGAAATCCATCCATCACAGCCACACACTGATTAAAACTTTTGGCTGGCATTTCTGTAAGCTTGCTCCACCCATTTTCAGGGTCTCTATACAAAATGTCTCTGCTAAGGGACTTCTCAGTAAGGCCTGGGCGTCCCCCAACGGTGACGAGGACTCGGCAGCCGCCTCGGATTCTTGTTCGCCTAGATTGTAATGTGTTTTGATGATATGGAAGCAAGTGGTAGTTCATAGCATCTACGAGAAGTTTGTGACAATCAGCATCTTGCATCATTCTTGGGACGGATTGAACATAATTGACCAGGTCTTGTGCAGAGATGGTACCAAAGCGAATATTGCTCAAAAGATCTGCAGCGTATTTTACTCTCTTTTGGTCAAATTCTAACCATTTCATTGCAATCTGGAATGCTACTATCTCAGAAGGCAACTGTAAGTCATCATCTATAAGAAGTTCATTAATTTGTTCAAATGTAAGTTTCATAAACTGATCCGATTCTGCAAATTCAAGGAAGTTATCCCGAATAAATTTCTGGGCTGCTGCTTTTGCATTTTTTAGGGAGTATGTTTCAGCAATATTAACAACATACATGCAGTTCTCAACACTCATCTCCCGTATCAGAAAATCACTGCACATCTTTACAAGAGTATGGATCTGAAGATAAACAGCGGCAGAAATAATGCTTCCTATTGTATACAAGGAGAGAGTGAGCTTTCCAGTGTAGGCATAAGCAATGACAGTGGCCAGGCCTAGTGGTGAGATATCATTGAGATCCACCCTCTGAGTTGATGGGTCTTTTTTCAGGATGTTGTAAAAATACTCACTGCATGAAGCCATCACTGACTTATGAACATCAAAGGATTTGGTTTTGGTACCAATGACTAAGTCACATAGGAAGTTCTCCTGCCGCATTTTACTTAAACCTTCCAAGAGGTTGGGGCCATAAGAAGCATCTGTTAGTTCAGAGGAAATGCAGCTAAGGCCATTGCCTCCCTCTAGGAGCCCATTCAAAGCATTCAGTTTGTTTAGGGGGCTATCTTCTACGATTATAGTCATCTCATTGATATCTCCTTTGTTCTTTTTGGCAATCTTCTTTTTGGGTGCCATGTTGGCAAATACACTGTCACAGGCAAGAGCTTGCTAAAAAAAAGGAAAAAAAGGCATAGTTTTATTTTAATTGTGCTTTAGACTTTGAAATACTACACTGAGAAACCTTTTCATAAGATAATAGTTTTCATGGCATAAAATAGATTAATTTTAAAAAATAGATTTAAAGACATATTAAACTAGATGCACATTTTATAGATAGGTTACTTCAGCATGAAGCATTGAAGACAATTCTAGGAAGATTTATGTTATCAAATGAAATCTCTCCATAACTGTATTGCCAGGTAATTATACAGAAAAAGTGACCACGTTTTCTTTCTTTTTTTTTCTTTCTTTTTTTCTCTTTTCTTTCTTTCTTTCTTTTTTCTTTTTTTTTTTTTTTGAGACAGAGCCTCTCTCTGTTGGCCAGGCTGGAGTGCAGTGGCATGATCTCAGCTCACTGCAACCTCTGCCTCTCAGGTTCAAGCGATTCTCCTGCCTCAGCCTCCCAAGTAGCTGGGACTACAGGTGTGTGCCACCATGCCCAGGTAATTTTTGTATTTTTAGTAGAGATGGGTTTTCACCATGTTGGCCAGGCTGGTCTCGAACTCCTGGCCTCAGGTGATCTGCTTGCCTCCACCTCCCAAAGTGTTGAGATTACAGATGTGAGCCACTGTACCCAGCCAACATTTTCTGATTGAGCTATACAGTAGAATAGTAGTTAATTATCATTTAAAGGGTTTAGTTTACTCTCATGAAAAAGTGAATTATAAACACTCCGAAGATTTTCCTCAGTAAAATACTAAAATTCAGGAATCCATATGAAATGTAGAAAATATTATCGAAAGATTATTTTATTTGCAGTAGCAATGAAACCTGTTATATTTTAAGAGATATACATACTTGACTCGAATTTAGTGAGACACGTATGATAAGTACTATCAGATTTTGCCAGAGGATTTAACAGAGAGGGACTCTAGAGTCCTATATGAAGAGATGGATGTCAATTCAGTGAAATTTTAATTGCTACCTCTATATTTTTTCTTTTTGGAAATTAATGAAATGATTTCAGAGTTTAACTGAGGGAGTGAGTATAAAAGAACATCTAGGAATATTGTTTAAAAATAAAGGAATTCTTACCAGATGTAAAAAAATTAGAGGAACTAAAAATTTTGGATAAGGAATAAAAAGAAATTCAGTGGAATAAGATAAGAGGTCGAAACCTATAAACTCACCAGAACAAAATAAAGGGTAGAAACCCGTATATGTGTGTATGTGTGTATAGATATATACAGTATATATGTGTGTGCATATTTATATATTTATATAGTGTATGTGTGTGAGTATATATATTAGGATAAATGTGGCACTTAAAAAATCAATGGGCAAGAACTTGTAATGATAGCATTAGGTCAACTGATTTCCTACTCTATATATTCACTAAAATAACTTCCAGATGAATTAAATAACTAAGTAACATATACACATACACAAACTTACATCAATCAGAACAAGCTAGGGATCTTGTTTTTGTTTTTGTTTTTACATCTTAGGGTAGGGAAGGCCCTTCTCAGCTGACACAAAATCCAGAAGCCATAAAAGGAAAGACTGAAATATCGGAATATAGAAAAATAAAAACATGAAACAAAACTGACTCTTTAAAAGGCAAGCAACAGACTGGGAAAACAAGTATTTTTAACCTTTTGGTTTTTGAGATAGGGTCTCATTCTATCACCCAGGCTAGAGTGCAGTGGTGTGATTTTGGCTTACTGCAGCCTTGACTTCCAGGACTCAAGCAATCCTCCCACCTCAGCCTCCTGAATAGCTAGGGCTACAGGTGCATGCCACTATGCCTGCCTATGTTTTTTTGTATTTTTTTTTTTTTTAAGAGAATGGGTTTCACCATGTTGCCCAGGCTGATCTCAAACTCCTGGGCTCAAGCAATCCACCTGTCTTGGCCTCCCAAAGTGCTAGGATTACAGGCATGAGCCGCGTTGGCCAGCCTAATCTGATGATTTCTTTGGTGCAAATACACTCATCATGGCTGATTTCAAGCTATCAACTGCTTAACAATCAGCTTGCCAAATTTCTGAAAATTCAACAATCAGCTCTTGTGAGCCGGTGTAAGCCAGCTCCAACATAACACTATGGAAAATTTATATCAAAACAGGTTTATGCTAATTATTCAACAATTTTCTCTTTTCACTAGCAGTAACTCATGTACATCTTTCCATAGCAGTACATGTATAAATCCACCTCATTCCTTAAAATCAGTGCATAGTTACACATAGTAAGGGTATATCATACATTGTTCAACTATTATCCTGTTGATAAGCATCTATGTATTTAGGTGGTTTACAATTTTTTGTTTTTGTTGTGTGTGTGTATGTGGGAGGGGAGGGGTGGTGTGTGTTTTAAATCCCACTGTAATTTTATCCTGAGGGGTAAAACTCAGCTTTGGCTCTCCTTGAAGGGTTATCAATTTGATGGGTGGTGTATGTGTTAAAGTAATTTTGTAGCCCTTCTATTGTATTTGCTCCTGTTCCTATCCATGCAGAAGAAGAGTAGCAGGTAGGCAGAAAATAGAGACGGTCTATTTCTTTTCCAGGGCTTTTGTTTTCTTCTTTAAGCTCCAGTTATCATATTCACATTTATATTTTTTACAAGACTATAGCACATATATCCTTCATTCTTTTTTTTGCAAACAATGCAAAATGCGTCCTTACCTTGTGAAAATAGATTATGAACCCACTATCATTTTAATGCTCAAATGCATTAATTTATGTGTTGAGTGTCTCCTTGTTGGACTTTCTGGGAGAAACTTTTGAATATTTGTCAGCAAGCGGTTATCAGATATCCATCTTGGTGTGGGCAGCACAGTGCTGGGAACGATGGAGCAGTACAAGATGTAACTTATATTAGAGAGACAAGACATGGCAAATGTAAAATATTAATAAGGAGCTAGGTAAGCATAGCAGAGTAAATTTGGGGGGAAAAGTCCTGTCTGTGTTCCTGGAAGAACTCCTGTGGCCCATTTTTTTTTATTCATATAGATACAGAATTTGTAAATGCTCATTGTTTAGAGAAAATCCTGAGTCTGAGGAGTAATCTGAGTGCCTCAAACTGAAATGCTAAATATTCTGTTATCCATCATTAAGATGTTGTTTCATAAGTAGCATGTAAGGGTCATATTTAAAATATTGATTACTGATAAAACAGGACATCTACTAACCAGAATGGATTCAGGCCACAGTGCTGGACCTGGGTCCCAGTGACTCCCTAGGGTACACTGTGTAATTCTTCAGTTACTAGATAATAGACCCAGGAGAGGGTGGAAGGGTGGGAGGGACTCAGAGAAGCTCAGGGCAGTAGCTGTTTGGCTATTTCAATTTGTTTGATATACACATAATATTTACAGAGAGATCTTAATATTTTAGCATACTTTCTGATCCAAATGGAATTAAATTAGAAATTAATAACAATAAGTTGTCTAGGAAAACCATTTAATTTTCAATATTTGAAAATTAAACAATTTCCTTTTACATTATCCATGAGTCAAAAAAGAAATCACAGGAGAAATTTTGATAATATTTCAAATAGAATGACAATGAAAATATAACATAAATACCAATTTTACTACTTATCTGCCATGTGACTTTTGATAGATTACCTAGCCTGATAGATTACGTAGCCTCTTACAGTCTCCATTGACTTATTTCTTAAGAGAAGATAATAATAGTGCCTGCCTCTAGGGTTGTCAATGAACGCCTAATGAGGAAATGTCTGTAACAGCATTTTGCAGAGTACCTGACAAAAAGTGAACGTTCAAAAAAATTTGAACCATTTTCATGACAAGCAATAGCCTATGTTAGTTGTCTTTGGGAATAAAGAAAGGAGCCTGTTTAAGCTTTAGAGTGAAGTGAATCAGAGAAAGCCACCACATCATGGACAAGCAGTCGTGAGGAGCAGGCGGCAATATGGAACAGTCACATAGTGACTCAGAAAAGAAGTGGCACACAGCAACCAAGGGAAGAGTTCTGGAACATGTAAATATTTCTACGAGATTTTTTAAAAATGCCAGGAAGAGAAAGGGAATACATGCAAATACACAACCTGAGAAATAGTTTTTTATTTTGATAGGTAGGGCTAACCCCAAAAGTTCAGAAAACTTGGGGCATTTGGTTATAGGTTAGGTGAGCAAAACAACAGAGTACATGGAACAGATTGTGTATCTGGATTTAAGGATTCAAATAAAAAGGACTATTGTGGTGGGGTGGTGTTAGAATGGCAGGTTTTGCAGATAACACAAATCTTGTTGGGTCTTGGTAACTGAAGGGTTTTAAAGAGCAGCATGTATAGGAGGGAGAAGGTTATTAGAAGTACAGGAAATGTTTCAAGTTGCAGCAGGGAGGCGTGACTCAGCCTGTCACATGCATTCAGAGATGGCTGAGGTCATGAGGGAGATAGTTGGGCAAGTAATGTTCGGTCAATACATATAGGAGGTTGGATGCCAAGAAGGCTTGAACCTGATAAATTCATATGCAGTCCGGAAGGACTAAGAAATCTCCAGGAAGACAGAGCGTAACTTGAGGCTAGATGAAATAGTGAAATCAGTAAAAGCTTGCTCTCTCTCCATTTTCTTTCTCTTACTTCCTATTGATGGCTTCTCTTTCCTCCATTGCCTGACCTTCATGCTACTCCTGGTGTTCCCACTGTTGACCCAGCCCTGGCCTGTTCCACTCACGGGAACTTCCATGCCCTTCTTTTTCTTTATATTCTCTTGCCCTTGTCCTATTTCTCTAAGACCCCTCTGGGTAATACATTAGCTAGTCTGACAAATGAATCCAAGCTAACCAGTTAATGGGCAGATCTACTCTTTTTCTCAGATATGCATGGTTTTTGTTTTATAAATAAGTGTCCTTCTATGACTCACATACAAATTTCTATCAGAGTAGCCTTTGTAGAATACATATATTCATATATATGTACTGACTTGCTGAATATACCACATACATTTCAGAAGAATTTATATTCTGCAATTGTTGGGTATAATG